ACTTTGGATAAAACCCCAGATTCCTGTTTGAATGTATCTTTTCCCATATAATGAACCTACCTGTAAAGCTGGCCTCTTTATGGTGTCAAGTAATAGCCCAGCCCTTGTAGCTACTGCTGGGTTGACATCTTCCACAGCAGTCAGGAAACAGCAGAATGCATGAGCCAAAGAGTACTTCAGTAGGTGGTTTTTTGTCACAGAGTGAATATCCAAAAATCTGCACAACACAGCCACCTTCTCCACTGTAGCAGCCATGCCCCCAGACAAAGAAAATATGCATATTAATTTAGGCAATGGCTTCTTTATGTCCTGATACCTCTCCTAGAAATATGCATATCTGAGAAAGTAACAACAAAAAAATAGCTGGCAAGTGTTGCAATTTTGATTTTACTTTGATTATCCAAAATGTCTCATGTTCTCTTCTATTTTACTGCATTGCTGTGTCATAGTTTTGCACCAGACTATCTCCAAAACTCCCCAAAGCAGCAAAAAGAGAATCATCTATTATAGGTCTCCTCAGTTACAGTAGAGCAACCTCTACCTCTTCAGTGAAGCAACAAAGAGCAGTGTACATTTCTCAGGCCTACCTGCTTCAAATCTCATCTTCCAATCTTTGCTGTTGAAATTGCTGTTTATGATTGTCCAGAAAATGTCAGCTCCGTGGGGAAGTGAAAGTGCATGAAGAAGAAGTGGGACTGCCAGGGAAGAAAGCTGAGAGAACTCAGACTTCACAACTCCCCATAAGCTGGAAAGACCAAAAAGAGCAAGCCTGCTTATCAAAGCACACCCTTGACATCTTTTCTTCTAACTGTCTGCACTGTACTGCTGGTGGGAATGCACTTCTCATGAAAATCTCTACAAGCCATCCTGGGCATTTATGTGAATACTACAGAGTTGCTGGTAGGAGAACAGAGCTACTTGCAGATCTTCAATGACAGCAGTTTTTCTTGAAAATCCAGGTTCAAATATTCCTAACATTGAAACACTTCAGATTTGACAAGAGTTTGCCTAATTCAAGGCACAACTGCCATGGAACATAACCTATGCTATGAATTAGCAGTTTCAGCACAATCAGCTTCGGTGCCTAAGCCACATGAACTGTCTTGGCACCACAAATCATGCACATCCACAAATGACTAAGATGTCAGGTGTTCACAATTTGCTGGTATTTAGATTCAGGACAGATTCTCTAGTCTGCTAAAACCCTACAGTCTCAGGAGATGCTCAATGAAACTGATACAGAGCAGCTGTAAGCACTGATGAACACACTCCATTTCAGAACATCATAAACTGATGTTTAAGTCCCTTTTTCAAAAGAGAATCTTAAAATGCAGAGATTTCAATCCAAATCACTCTGATTCGAAATGAAAAAGCTTCCTTTACCTCTTAAAAATAAGGTGCAAGACTGTTGTTCTCTCAGCTTTTAATGCTAAAGCCCTATAAACTGTGTGCCTGCTACTACATCATTCTTTATTTTATTTTGTAGAGTCAGGGATAATACTTCAGTCTCAGACAATGCTATTATTCAATATGGCAAACTCTGACTCACTGCAAAACAAGTGGTGCATGACAGAGTAGCCATGATGGACAATGTAGGGAACCTTGGTTTCATTTGCAACTTCTTAATTAGCCTGTGCAATGTGCCCTTATACAGTTATTTAACCTTTCCACACTTCCCTACCACCCTTTGTTAACCTTCCCCACTAAACCTACAAATTCTTTCATCCTAATAACAAATGTGTATTTGGAGAACCAATGAAGTATGAAGACAAAATGTGCAATAAAAACCTACCTTGCAATCAGCATGTGATCTTGAATATAGGCAAGAAATTGTGGGTGGTCCTTTCTTGCTATATACAGGCATTCTCCATGAAGACACAGGATCTTCAGACAGTTCAGCATGTTAAAAAGTATGTCTGGTTCTTCAAACCTTGACATTTCCTGTGTAAGCAGATGTACTACTCTTAACACAATGACAGCATTTAACCAAAAATTCAAACTAAACAAACAAGTAAACAATGTTACCTGCAATATAGTGTATATGAGCTTCAAGGTAACTGGAAGTTGCTGATAACAAAATTTTCTTTCTGTGTCATTCTTTATTGCTGTTAAAAACGTAAGTTACATAAAATGTTGTTAAAGTTCTCTCACCTATGAATTAAAAATAAAACTAAAGAATATGAAAGTGATGAGAGAGAAATTAATTTTAGCCACAGTAACCCTGCTGTCAGTAAAGTTACAACAGCATGGAATTTGGCAAGTAATGTTTTTGCTACTTTATATGTTCAAAAAGCCAAGATTTCTTCTGACACTTTTTTGAGAGACAGTCATACTTGCTGTCAACATAAATACAGCCTTCCTATGTAATTAATATGTTGAAAGAATTAAATGCATGAGAAAAACGTGACTGTGCATTGTTGGACTTGAAAGACTGCTTCAGAACCTTGTATTCTTAAAGCCTTACTGAAACACTCAACCTTCTCACCCTCCACCTACCAGCATTTTCTGTGGTCTCTGTGTGATTTCCTGGGTTTTCTCCATGTTTTGGTGCTGATTTGTCTTCCTCTTCTCCTTCAGTTCCTATAATAAACTCAGGTCTAGTATACAGAAGACTATCCTCGAGGTTATCTGTGGGCTCCTTTAAGAACATAAGAAGTTAAATTTGTTTCTTGATGTTATCTAAATACATACATCTAATACAGGCCATATCCTGCTGGTTTTAATCACACATTTGGTGTGATAAGCTGAGCTCAAATAAGGCACTGTCTAGTTCCATGTACACTTGTACATTCAAATCACCTGCATATCTAAAATTTTTTATCAGCAAATGCCTATCAACAAGAAGACTATGTTTCAAACATGGATTTAAGTGACACCACTTAACAGAAACTGTATATCCATGTTGGAGCTGAGGTGGATCCAACCACAGGGCTGTGGTTTCACCAAACTTGTCATCATTGCCTCAGAGGAGTAACAGACAGGAGCAGGGTGCGTTTCCTACACTACTGTAGAGCTACAGGCTTAGAGACAGGAGCTACCTCAATCACTTGTACATTGAAAAAAGGACCAGGCTGGAGGTACTTCTGCCTGTGGCCAGGAGCTCAGGATTACAGGTTGCCATTGTGACCTTTATGTTACAAATTGCAAGGTGGGTCCTAGAAATGGTAACGAGCCCCAGCACTCAAAAGACTTCAACACTTGCTACTCTTTGGTTGAGGTGAGAATCTGAACTGAAAGGGCATGAGATGATTTTTCTAGCGCAAGTTACTGAGTATCACATGCACAATAGCTACTATTATCATACACATCCAAATGGAATTCCAAAACTTGTACACACCTCTATGCCCACCACCGAAAAAAATTACTAATAAACATTCTGCCATTACCATGCCACAGCAAATGAGCACTCAGAACATGGGGAATGATGCTGTCTTCTGAATTATTAGATGGAACAGTTACATTTAATAGACATAGAGCTTAAAGTAAATTCATCACACCACACATGAATGCTTCAATTCTTCTGCAAAGCTACAGAGGACTTTAATGATGATTAGTGATTGGAGAGTACATATCTAAGTCTGACAAAGTTGGATACTCAACCTGAAGTGTATTCTGTTTTTCAACAGTGCTCAGCATTTCTAGCAATCAAGTACCAACTAAGGCTTGCTCACTTGACAACTGATTTACTCAAAAATTAATCATTTCAAAATATGCGCTTTTAGCTTTTAAAAGAAGATGAAAATCACTAAGTATTAACATTTCGCATTTTAAGACACAGCATGATAGGAGTGTCCTTCCAAAGCGAAACAGCACTTCAATGTTGATGGGGGAAGAGCTGATGAATGAACATTGTCATCTGCCCTGGGTTCTCTGAATCAAGTCAAACATAGGAAATTTTACAGTTCATTGGCATTTTGCTTTAACCTCCCAAATCCTCCATGCCAAAGGTCAGCGCAGCTTTGCTCCCTTGTGCACAACGTAATGAGACCAATGAAGAATAGGAGTTTCAGCACACCAATAACATAGGCCCTTTCCTGCTCTACTTACCACAAGCCTGATTTCTTCTTTTGGAGCAAGCTGTTCCAGTAGCTCAAAACCCAGCTGGTAACACAGAATGCTGGACTGACACAGACCACATTCAACTGCTTTTTCATCTTTCTGACAGGTGTGAGAACCACCCCAGGGTGCCTGGAACACATTGTTTATGATGGATATTATATCTTTTGAAATGCTGTTCTCTAAGCCCAAAGTGACACCATCATCCTGGAGTTCCATCTGAAAGAGAGTGAAAAGGGTAAGAATTTATTATTTATTTAAAAGCCAGAGAAGTAATTATTCTGTCTCTTCCTACATTTCTGCTAGTGTTATATTACAGTACTGAGAAGAGTCTGAGATAAACTGGAACTCACAATTTTAAATTGCAACTGGTGTTGAGGCCCAAGCTCGAACAGACAGTTTCAAGCACAGGATCCATGAATTTTACCTGGAGACAGTTATCCAAAACACTTGGCCCTGGATTCACAAATGTACAAATTTAGATAACTAAAAATGATGCATCTAATCTAAGCCTATCAACAAGCCTCTGCTCCTAGTCTGTAGAAATAAACTTATCACAGAATCACAAAATCATCGGGGTTGGAAGGGATCTCTGGAGATCATCTCATCCAACCCCCGAGCAAAGCAGGGTCACCTTCAGCAAGTTGCACAGAATCACGTGCAGGTGGGTTTTGAAAATCTCCAGAGAAGGAGACTCCACAACCTCTCTGAGCAGCGTATGCCAGTGCTCTGCCACCCTCAAATTAATGAAGTTCTTCCTTACATTCAGATGGAACTTCCTGTGCTTCAGTTTGTGCCCATTGCCCCTTAACCTGTCACTGGGCACCACTGAAAAGAGTCTGGCCCCATCCTCTTGATGGTATTTATAAGCACTGATGAGATCCCCTCTCAGTCTTCTCTTCTCCAGGCTGAACAGACCCAGTTCTCTCAACCTTTCCTCCTAAGAGATACTCCAGTCCCCTCATCATCTTTGTTGCCCTCCACTGGACTCTCTCCCATAGCATCTTGTCTTTCTTGAACTGAGGAGCCCAGAACTGGACACAGCACTCCAGATGTGGCCTTACCAGGGCAGAGTAGAGGGGGAGGAGAACCTCCCTCGACCTGCTGGTCACACTCTTCCTAAGGCACCCCAAAACACCATTGGGTTTCTTGGCCACGAGGGCACATTGCTGGCTTATGGTCAACTTGTCTACCAGGACTCCCAGGTCCTTCTCAGGTCAGCTGCTCTCCAGTAGATCGACCTCCAGCCTGTAGTGTGCATGGGGTTATTCCTCCCCAGTTGCAGGACCCTACACTTGCCTTTGTTGAACTTCATCAGGTTCCCCTCTGCCCAACTCTCTCACCTGTCTAGGTCTCACTGAATGGCAGCGCAGCCTTCTGGTGTACCAGCCACTCCTCCCAGTATTGTATAGTCAGCGAACTTGCTGAGGGCACACTCTGTCCCTTCATCCAGGTCGTCAATGAATAAGTTAAGCAAGACTGGATCCAGAACTGACCCCTGGGGAACACCACCAGCTACAGGCCTCCAACTAGACTCTGTACTGCTGATCACAACCCTCTGAGCTCTGCCATTCAGCCAGGTGTCAACCCACCTCACTGTCCACTCATCTAACCCACACTTCCTGAGCTTACCTATGAGGATGTTATGGGAGACAGTGTCAAAACCCTTGCTGAAGTCAAGGTAGACAACATCCACTGCTCTCCCCTCATCTACCCAGCCAGTCATGCCATCATAGAAGGCTATCAGATTGGTCAAGCATGATTTCCCCTTGGTGAATCCATGTTGACTACTCCTGATAACCTTCTTTTCCTCCACATGTTTAGAGATGACATCCAGAATGAGCTGTTCCATCAGTCTTCCAGGGATGGAGGTGATGCTGACTGGCCTGTAGTTTCCTGGGTCTTCCTTTTTGCCCTTTTTGAAAACTGGAGTGACACTGGCTTTCCTCCAGTCCTCAGGCACCTCCCCTGTTCTCCATGACCTTTCAAAGATGACGGAGAGTGGCTTAACAATAACATCTCCAACAAGAAGTTCCTTTCACTCACACGAGCTACCTAACATGATTGTGGAGGTATCTAACTTCTCTTCATTGAACATGAACCTATAACTCCTATATGGGCAAAGGCAGATGACAACTGTAGAGAGATTTGAATGTCCTATATTTCATGTCAGTCCCTTAGCAGAAAGAGACTCAATACAGGATTAAAGGAGAGCCCAAAGTGACTACAGAACTTCAGCGACCCCTCAATGTGGGTGTTTTTCTTCTGCGAGTACCTGCTTCAAGAGGAGATCAAACATCAGAATGAAGCAATTAAGATTCATTTCGTCATCTTCACAGTCAAAATCAATTGTCTTTCCACTGGGGTGTCCGAAGTTCTTGAAAGGGCTGTGAAAAGGACTACGTATTGGACTCCGAAATGGGCTCTGGAAGGGGCTTGGGAAAGGACTCAGCATGTTGTGCTGAACTCTGCGCCCAGGGTCAGAAGCAACGCTTACCTGAAGACATAAAGAATCAACAGGTCCAAATGACTGTTATGCATTTAAGTAATCTCATTCTACACCACAGTTAATGGTAAGAAATTTGACAGTGTTAGTAGTTCCTCCCCTAGCTCTTTTGCAAAATCTACATGTCATTAAATGACATGTAATTAATGACATTAAATAATAAAATACGATAGAAGTACAGGAATCATATTCTGCACAGATGTATACATTCTCTTAAGCTAAGTGGCTGACATCGATTATCTTACTCCTTCTAAGGAGGAATTTTAACATCATAAACCAAACAGAAAATTGGTGCAGGCAATAAAGCAGCCATCAGGTTACAATGATCTGCTCCATGATCCCGGAACTCAAACTTCAAAAGGAGGAAGCTAATGAAGGAGACTATCTCAAGAGAACAGTGTAACTAAGGCTATACCAAGGATACAGGTAGCTAGAAATGAAGTAGACAAAACAGTAACAAGATGTGCATGTCTGCATTGATTTATATCCACACCACAGTAGGCCACGTAAAAACACCCTGAGAATCTCTAAATGTTGCAGGGAGATACGCAGTTAGATGACACATGAGGACACATTATGCCAGCTATGGTGTGAAAGACCAGACATTAAGTTTGTCCGTTTTTTCTGTTTAGTTTAGAAGTGGTCATGGGCTAGGTGTGTGAGTGCTCTCTGAGGAGCTACATCAGAAGACAGGCAGACCACATGTAAGGAATCATCAACTGCCTAGATGCTGTAGTTCCTTAAATCTGAAGATCTGACCTTTCAAGCACTCTTGTTCCTGCTGTCCCTGAAGCACTTCATCCAAGACTACTGGGAAGTTAGTCACATCAGTCCAAGTATGTGTAGTGCCTACAGATTTGTACATGTTTTCTTTCAGACCATAAGCCTTTGACAGGCAACTTTAGATCAATTTTTGCATATCTTGGATGGGGAAAAAAAATGCAGGGAAACAGAAATAAATTCTGCTTTCACCCTCCCAAAACATACCTAGGCCCACCAAATTTGTACTAGAACACAAAAGCTCACCCTGGGTGACGAGTTGCCCAGAACAACTTGTTGTTGATGGTTATTAACAGAAGGTGCAGAGAATGAAAATGGTTGGAAAAGTATCCCAAACAAACATATCCCAAGCAAATCGGTTCACTAAGGAAAAACTGCTCAGTTTTCTGCAGTTTCTACCTGCATTATCCTTACACTGACCATGTGATAGAGTGGTATTAATTGAAAAAATCATACCAATTTTCTTCCATTTTCAAAATTCATAGTGTTTCCAATCAAATGCTGCCATATTGAAAAATTACTTTTTAATTCTTCACATGCATTCTATTAGGAAAACTGTTCGAAGCAAAAAAATAAGCAAGATAAATAACAGTTACCCTGCGAGTTGCAAGATTTCCTGCCAGTTCACTGACTCTTGATTTTCTTTGATTTGCTAACTCTTTTACAGAATTGACTCCATCAGAAAACATGCTGATTAGTAACTGAAGAGGAACAACAATGTCTAGTTCAGATAACACCTGGGGAAAGACAAGAAATCAAAAAGCATGAGTTCCCAGTTTGATCAAAAATGCCAGCTACTTTATAAGCACTGTTATTATATCATCCTCAGTTCAGCAAGTTCCATACATTTAATTTTGAGATTCAATAAGGTGAGCTGAAAGCTTAGATTTCTGTTAGAATCAGGGCAAAAGAGAACTGGCAAAAAAAGGGCATTTTCAAAATATTTGTTGGCACCTGCTTGGTACACCTTGAGATCAATTTTATGCACAAACACACAGGAATGTGAGGTTGTCCCACAAAAATATTTCTGTGAACCAAAAGTATTACCAATACTTGGATGAGTAACTATTTACTTTATTTATTATTACTTAAACCTGAAGTCTTGTATTTATTCTAGGAATCCAGTCAGAATGGTAGCCTACAGGTGCCAATATAGTGACAGGATGGTTATCTGCAAATCATCGAGGGAATATTCATCATCTGTTTTCTTATGAACACTCGGACAAATGAGCTCATTTGTACTTGTCATTAAGAGTTATTAGGTCAAGAAAAATCTAAAAAGAAAAATCATACTTTACTTGAAAACTTTGCATATCTGAAAATTGCTACTGTCATCAGGCAAACTGGTCTTTGCAGAGGTCTCACCAAAATAACCCTCAGCAGAAAAGAAGCAATAATGAAGTACACAGCTATTATTCTGAGGTGCTGTGGAAAATTTTATACCCTTTTGAATTCAGTGCCCCCAGCTGACATGATTGTCCCTGTAGCTTTTGAATATGAACATTGGGTGAATGCCAGCTTTGTGGGCAAATATAGCACAAAAGGGCCAGAGCAGCAGAAAGCTTGATGGGTACAGAGCTAGTCCAATCCAGTTCTTCATATGTGGGAACAACTACAGCTGCTTCTGGAGTCTGGAATTAATTTTGGAAACTACAGACCAAATTCTGTGGAGACTAAAAACTACTGCTGGCAAAAAGTCAGACAGCTGAATGGCCCTAAAGACACAACTGACATTCAAAGGTAAAAGGAATTTCCAGGCTTCCATTACAATGCCCATGATGGGCTAGTAACATAAAGCTTCCCGCGATCTGTCTACTAACTATCCTTACACTGCAGCTAAGCAAAGGGCAGAAAGGTACCATGATTCTCAGAGAAGCAGCTGCTTTTCCTGCCCCCACTTTTTTTTTTCTTTTCCAAAATCATAAGCTGCTTCAGCATGACTCATCAAGACACGACACTTACATGCAGCCACAGTAATGCTTGCTCTTGCACAGAGGATGGATACCCTGTGAATCGACAGCTAATGAAGCCAAACATCTCCTCCATGGAGAAAGGGAGAGGGCAAAGTTCAGTGTCAAACATTTTGCTGAAAAGTAAAACAAAAACATAGCATGACTGAGCTACAATGGCATACATCGTGTGAGATATAACAGAAAACTGGTAGAGAGGCAATCTCACTACCAGCACCAATGATGCTTCTGTAATCTTACTTGCATCCTCACCCTCCACCGGAGTTGACATAGGCTGCTGATACCACCTGTCCTGACTGCACAAGGTCATCTCTGAATTTGGTGGTGCACCTTAAGAATTTACATCATATGTCATATCATGCCCAGTTTCATTTGACAGCAGTATCTTTTTCAACATTCAATATAAAAATTGGAAAATTTCTCATCTCACCACTCCTCCACTATCCATGTTTACACTAAAAAAGTTTACATCAAGACCTGTAAATATAAACTTAATAAATTTAAATATAACTTACAGTCAGTTTCAGAGCCTCTTCATCAGTTAAAAGGCAACGTGAAGTTTTATTGTCAAAGGCAATGTGAAGTTTTATTGTCAAAGGCATACACCAGACATGAAATTATGATTCAAACAGCCACCATTCTCATTCCGGTGTTTTCTTTGCTCAACAGGGGAAGATATTAGCAAAATCAATACAAATCATCGCTATTTCAGTGCCAGCTCTACTAATCCCCATGATTTCTCATCAACAGCTGGCCAGAAGGAGAAAGATGCTTCTTCCACCATGTTGCAGGAAGCCACTGAAAATCTGCCTTGCTCATAACAAAGAAGCATCCATGTAGTTGGCTCTTGATACAGATTTGAGGATATCAGGAGCAATAAAAGGAAACTTCCCCAAAGCTTAAGTGCTTTAGTCTAAATGTAAGTTATAAAAATTTCAGAATCATTTGCTCATTACTGCCTATTGCACACAGGCATTTTTATTTGTTGTCATCATCTTATTGTGCTAAAACCCTCAGCAATCAACATATGCAACGATAGAATGGTTCCTACATATGTCTACATACCTCAACACTTCCCGGAACTCTTTCAGTTGATTATCAGGCACTTCCGTCCTTATAGCTTCCAACCACTCTGGCATGATACATTCCCACAGCGGCTGGTTTATCACATTGTATGGAATCAAGCAAAGGATTCGATTCAGCCCTTCTTTTAATTGGGTCACAGCACTACACGATTTGTCCCAGTATCCACCAACCTGTGGGTATTTCCAGGAATCATACTGATGAACAATACTTCTAGTCTCTGTAACTTGCCCAGCATCATAAATTTGCTCAGTGTGTTGCAGCCAGGAAATTGTGGGGGGTGATCATCAGTACTTTCCAGCCTGAATTTACAATTCAGCCATGGGGATTGCATTGGTTTTTTTACTCTCTCATTTGACCCACAGTACACAAAAGCACTGTCCAAGATTTAGATGAAGTTTGCTCACTTTCAGACCACAATGCAGAGTAACCTCTCATTGTTTACAGTTCTCAACAAGGGACAGATTTGTTTGGTCAAAGTTGCATCTTCAATTATTTGCTCTGGGCAACTTGTTACAGTGCTGGGTCTTTACCTTGAAAAACTTGGTTTGTACCCGGTGTTCTTTTGTGATTGTTTGTTTTAGGTTTTTTTGAGGGAAGATTCTAAGTGATGGAAGCCAAATAATATACTTAAGTAAATAAGTAACTGGCATACAGAGATTAATTATTCTAATTTACCTCGGCTCACATCTGCTGTTCCTGACTAATGGCTCTAGAGATGCCTGCTGTTTTGGCAGCAACTACTGTTAATCTCAGCCAATAAACTATTTTTTCTCTCCATTCATCAGAGCTAATTTATGGCTGTCTGTCTTCATGTTCTAGTGAATCCTTGTGAATCTGGCAAGTTGTCAGCCTGGTCTTAAGTATTGCAGTGGGGGTAGTAAAACTCAAACAAGGGCCTGGATCCAAGACAAGAAAAAGATCCACAAAAGATTATAGCATGAGGTTCAGTCCTTCGTTTCCCCTTTAGCCTCAAAGCTCTGATCTCTTTTCTTCAGTTCTAAAATTCAATGCATCCATCCACCTCTCAAATTCCCTCAGCTGCCCTCCAATCCTCCCACAGCCAGATGTATCTTCAGAGCAATGGTTCAGAGTAAGACACACACACATGCTGGTCTGCACGTGTACAGCAAATCCCATATATAAGGTCATGAAAAATCCATGGATGCACACTACATCCCTGATGATATAATGTGTCACATCAAGTCTTTATGGCCCCCCCTAGTCTAGCAACTTAATTTTAGGAAACAAAACCAACGTGTCCTCTGGACATTTCACATAAGAGGGTCACAAAATGAAAGTCTTAGAAAGGCACATGTGGTACAGTTGGCAGTGATAAATCAGGAAAAAGTCTTAAATCCCTCACAAATATAAAGTTCCTGGGTTTATGTTGATGTTTCATTTTCTGTAGAGGAATATTCACATCCCTGATTCTTGCCTGTCTTTACTACCCAGGTTAAGTGGCAAGGTCTGCTTCGTAATTAATGGACAGAAAGAAAGACTCTCTCTAGAATCGATTCTGGCAATGGTCTCACTTAGGCACCCTGAATGACATTCCAGACAAGTCTCTCTCCATCAGCAATGAGGCAAACCATAGGAGACTAGTCTCTTAACTGAGTCACTTTAACTAGGTATCTGAAGCTACATCAGTATGCCCAGAGTCCGTTTCAGTCACAATAGTGTGATTTCATGAACCTTAATTCACAGCTGCAGAGATGAAGTATGCAAAGAACAGAGAAACATTAGTACAGCAGACTAGTAAAGGACAGGCTTATATCTGGGAGCAGACAAATGATACTTTTTACTAAAGACAAGCTGGGGTGCTTCAGCAGCATAAGGGAAATGTGCAGGTATCAAAAATGTACAGTATCTTTCAATATCTATAATATTCTTCCAACCTGTCTTCATATTACCGCAAATAATCCCTGCTCCCTAACACAGTAAAACTAAAAATGCTATGAAGAAGAAAAATTCCTGAACTCCACTGCTCCCTCAACCACTGAGATTTCTTTTGCCTTGACAGAGCTGGGGAGAAATGTCTTTATACTTAAGACTTTAATCTCTGTGGCAAATAAAGGAACCTTCAAATAAATTATTCTTACCCTGGCAAACTCCATTGGTTTAGGAAGGAGGCACATAACCATGACATCAAATCGGACATCACAAACAGTCTTCAACCACTTAGTAACAAACTGGGGTTTGAGCTTTTCAACCAGGCTACCAACTTCATCATCCATCATGTAAGCTGTAGAGTGAAACCACTGGAATACCATGCTAACCAGCCTTGCTAAACTCTCTGTGGGTGTATTCTCACTGGGAGTGCAAAGGCTCACCTAAAAGACAGAAACACAAATCAAGTTTCATTTCTAGAATTAAAGGTGGCAAATTCTTTGTCTACTATATGTTGCATATTCTCAGAGATATGAGGATGCAGATTACACAGAAGTCAAATGAGCTCAGCAGTTTTAAGTAGAGTTTGGCACAGGACAATTGATAAAACATTTCCAAACCAGAAAATAACAATAAGAGGAAAAAAAGCAAGCACTGAATTTTTTGTTTCTTAGTTTCAACACTGAAAATATCAACACAGAATACTTTGACAAACTAAAACATTTTGCTTCGAACTTTAAAATGACTTTTCATTTCAAAAGATAATGTAATGTCTGGTAAAATGTATGATACACACACACATATATAGATATAATCTACAAGATAAAAAGACAAACCAAATTAAAAGTTTCAAAAGGTCTGAAAGAAGATGTCTACTTAATACAGTAAGTGACCTTTGCTTTGCAAAAAGATTCCAATTTTGATTTTTTGTCCTCATTTGGAGCAGCAATATGAGTTTAAGTCCTCATAAATTCTCATATGATAATTAATATTCTTCTCCCCTTCTCCAAAATGTCTCTTTCTAAAATGACATCTGCACTGTAAAACTGTCCCAAATCTGAGACCAAGTCTGTACCCCAGTTCACAGACCAGGCACACTGCTAAGTCATTAAATACCCACTATTTGAGCTCTTGGTATCTTCTGGGTGCAGAAGAAAAAGTTTCAAGTCAGGTTGCTGCACTGAATCCAAAGAATGGAAAAATAACAGATGATAGAAGATATAGGAAGCTCCTTTAACCACCTATCAGACGTCTGTTGCCACTTCCTAGGGACAGCTGTACTCTCAGCACTTGGCAACCTGAAACCAGCAACTGCTGCCTTGCAGCAAGTGAACAAAGGAGAAACATTCATGTCATTTCTGGGGAAACAGCTGACAGCACTGTTTCCCAGAGAAGACCAGAATCTATCTTACAAGTGCTTTTCCTCCATGTTTTTTCTTGGGATGAGGAGCTAACAACACCCTTGCCAATTCAAAGTACAGCCTTCATTGTTCTACTTCATTGTATGTTGAAATTAAGGTGTTTGCTTTCTGGTGCTTGTCTCAGTTGAGTGTTAACTTAAAGGCAGTATGAGCTGGAAGAATTTTTAATAGGAACTCTTGAGCTCTGCCCACTTTCTAGATGAAAGGTATTCATTCACCACTTCTTACAATCTGTGCTGTCACCTCTGCCAATGCTCACTATAGAGAGATCAAGAGATTTTATAAGAATAGAATGAAGTCATTGAGCTCCCCCTCCCCACCATAGAAAGACAGACTCTCAATGTCAAGTATGAGGCATGTACAGTGTAATAAAACCTGTTTTGTTCTCACTTCAATTCTACTTCTGGAAACGTAGGCTTTCAGTCTTCACAAAACATAATTTGAAACAAACACATGAATATGGCACAATAAAATAAAAAGGCTTTAAGTCTAAAACAACATTAAACAACAAAACCCATAAGGTATCAGCCGAATATAAAGTTTACTCATGTAGCCACTTGAAACAGCAGAGCGCCTTTGTTGGCATTATGGGATTCTAGACCTGCGACCCGGCTGTCCCTATCTCTGTTTAGATGACAGATGAAGGGTCCTACTATTTTGCACTTGTCACTGGGTGGCAGAGAAGGAGAGAGCCTGAGAGCTCAAGGTGAACTGGAAAGAGCCTGAGAAGGAGAATTCTCCTTAAGGAGAACTGCAGAATTCAGTTTCTGAGGATCTATCAGGCTCCAGCCTGGCTTGATCATGAACTAGCCAGCAGCAGCCCTGCTATTTTGGGATAATCTCTGCTAGTTACTGTGAGGGGTAGAACCAGAAGGGCGTCATTCTGTCAACCCACATCAGGTGAATTAACTGGAGTACAACGACTGGGACTGATCCAGCTAGACCAATCTGAAGGCAGGAAGGAAAATCAGCCCACTAAGACTCCTCCAGCCTATCCAAAGGTAAGAGAGAAAGCTAAGCTTCCAGAGAGTGATGTTGAAAGACGGAAGGTGAAACAGATCTTTAGGGATTGCCTTTTAAGGTTAAAATAATGGCACTCAGCAGGGGACACCTGTGAGCAGAAGATTACGGTACATAGAAAGTCAGTAAAAAAACCTGAAAGAGTGAACAATTCCATAATACACTCTATACAGGACTCAGAGACAGTCAGCAGCTCCACCCAAACTAATTTTGAAATCTCCAAGTCTAACAGCTTCACAGAACTCCTTATTTTTGCTTACAAATCAGAAAAGTATCCAACTAAAGCCAAGAAGTGGGGAAAAAAAACAGAGAAAATTGAGGCTTCATAAAGAAAAGAAGAAGGAAGCAAGAGGAGTGAGAGAAGAGAGCAAGAATTTCTCACCAAGAACCAGATTCCAAACTGGCTCAGGAGGCGTTGGTCATGCTTGTCATCATCTTTATTATCAAAGTCTGTGTTGTCCAGGGAGTGATGGGAAGAGGAGAGGCCCATCTGTCTCCTGCGGTTGAGTTCATACTCCCTCTGCTCAGCATGAAACTCTGCTTCCTTCAGCAAGCTATAAAACAAGCTTGTAGTCAGTGAACGCAGCTTTCCTGCACTGGATATAGGTATCTGATCAAGAATAACTAGAGGTTAAGGCATCTGATGTTATCATTTTCCTGAGAACAGTTATAAAATAACACCAAATTCTAGGATTCAAGGCTGACTTCTTCCATGAGGACAACACTCACAGCTCATCAGTACTCTGCTAAAGCAGCAGGAGTTCAGTGTCCCTGCTCTGAACTTATCCTGGTGAAACTAAAATCAACTTGGACAAGATTTGCAGGCAATATTTACATGAAAGCCTGGTCCTGCTTTACATACTGATGCCTCATAAGCTGCCATATTACCTGATCACAGCTTCCACAGTACACACAAGTTCCTCTGCCCCACACTCCCGGGTATTGATAGGAGGTGGCGAGGTCTGATAAAGATGGGTTTCTGCAGCTGCCCCAACTTCACTGCTGTGATGATTTGAATGGCATCTTTTGCAATAGCGCACCGGCCTGTTGCCATGGCGGCCACAGCAGCCTGCTGAGAAGCACGTGACGACAGCTCTTCTGACATGTGAGCTACAGTTCTGGAAAATAAAAAAGATTTCATTAGGCCACAAGTATCAGGAAGTAGAACTGAAAACAGATGAGAGCCAGCACTGGGGAACTGGCTCAAGAGTTGGTCATTTCCAAAATCACTATATATAAGCACCACTGTGTGCAAACTCCTGATGCCAAGTGTCACTGAACTTCCAGAAAGATGAGCTCAGGCCTAAATGCTGGGCCTGGACTTAAATGTCATGGTTGTTCTTCTTTTGGAGCAGATCAAAGCAACATTTAAGTCATAAACCTCCACTTTCTGGCTTGGATCAATCTCTAAAATTTACAGTAGTTCTCTTAACCCCTGCTTATACTTCAGAATGTCTTTTTAAGTGACCTGTAGCAACAGGCAGATCCTTAGGAGTGTAATCAATGGTGCCACACCAGTTCATGCTATGTAAGGATCTGCCTTATCATAGGTAACCATCCAAGCCTCCAAAATATGCGCGTTCTTTATTTTTGCCACCTGGTAATTCAGCACAACATAAAAGCTTTCTTTACCACATTGAATCTAGAATATGTTATACACTGTATTCCTCATTATTAGTATGTTATTAAAACACCCTAGCTGGTATGTATTGCAAGCAGATTCTTTTTGTCAGCAACCTTTTGAGAGCCAAGCACTGAAGACTTCCAATCCATGTATTTTTAAAAATATGTAGTTTACTGTAGGATTTTTGTCCAATTTAGGATTAATCCAAGACTTCAAGGAGATGAGAAGATATAAACACTTACATTTAAAATTAATCTCTTGCTCTATCCTCTTCATAAGCAGAGGTATAGAATAAAAACTGAGCTCAACCACATAATTTAATTGCTTTACTAATTGCCACCTCAACAAAAACCTGCAACTCAAATCAAACATCAGCAGTCTTAACAAAAAGAAACCTTGCTGCTGAATCATTCCCATCCACCAACAAATGTATTCATGGATAAATTGTGAAAATTTGGAATGGTACAAAAAAGAACACATCACATAGTAATGGAATGACACTACACACAACATCAAATCATGCCTCATCACACAAATGACTGAATCTTACCTTCTTCTGACATATAGCAGAAATTTCAGCTGTAAGGGGAAGGCATACAAAACATCAACACAGAATGACGATCCTTCTGTTTTACTATGGCGGCCATGGGAAAATGGACTTGCTCCAGGGAAGTCTCTAAGGTGAAACTTGTGTTTCCAGATATTATTGCAACCTCAAAGCTTGTTGGACTACATGAGGTAGGACAACGTATACTTAGGCCTACTGGCTATTTCTACACTGAAATGAAAGAGCAGCCTTGGTGCATTCAGCGTGGTAGGCTCTGCATCCCATCCACCTCTGCCTATGCTTCTGTCTCACAGACAGACTTGTAAAAGTACACCTGTAGGCACACTACTGTGGCATACTGTAGGAGACATGGCTCAGATGCGCCTACACTGCCTGTGAAAGCTCGCAGGATGAAAGCTTAGTGAATATGGATGAACAATGTAGAAGTACCCACTATGTCTGGGGCCCATAACTCCATAGTGAAATGTTTGCAGATTCAACTTGTAAGCAGTAACTATTCAGCCTGTTGCCCTGGCAACATCTGATTCAGTGAATATAGGTAGCTGAGTAAAAAGAAGTACTTCTCTTAAGTAAACAAAACATTGTTAATCTGGATTAGTTTTCAACTAAAAGGAGACAGCAAAAAAATTCCCATTGTATAAGAATTTTCAGTTTGCAGAACAAAGAGAGAGGGAGTGTCTTTGTTTTGTTCTGGAAAGGTTATTTTAGAGAATATGTGACTGTTCTTGTAAACCCAGGAAACTGTGATTAGTCTGTCAACAAGCTTTGTCAGCATTCTGGTAGATAATAAAATATCAGGCTCTCTCACTGGCCAAAGGACAATGATTGGATCAATGACTAGGTCATTGAACAATATTTTATGTCCTTTCCTGATACCCTTTACAGTCTTCTATTCACAGAATAGGTTTTCAGAAGCTTTAAGAGCTCTCAAATCAGACCCAGGTCACCAGAAGAACTAGCCCCTTTTTTGGACATCAGCATGGGACACAAATAGTTTTAAAAAACCTGGCCCCAACTGCGGATGCTTCAAGATTTGAAAATCTGTTCAACTATCTCTGTTTCCTCACACATAAAGAGTTGCATATTATTTCAGATAGAGGATTAGTCAATTTTTTGTACTACTTTAATGGCATTAAGCAGTATTAAGTACGAGTTACTTTAAAATTCTAAAAAGTTCCTTTAGAATAGAATGCAACATTTGAAGCAATACAGTATGCAAAAATATCAGTAAGCATAGGGTTGTACAATTATGATTAACTTGTACCTACCCTTAAAATACCTCTTACCTTGTGGTAGAAGAACATCAATCAACCATTCACTGTGATCCCTATAAAAATTGTATATCTAATTAGCTTTCCGTTTTTTATTTATATATGCATTTATTTTTGCACAGAGGAAATTTATCTAAATTAATGTTGTAGGACTGCTTCTTTTACAAATGTAGTTTTATAAATTGCAGGTTGCTTCACATTACATCTCTTTGTTGTGCCTGTCTTATTACAAATTACCACTTTGCTGATGTTGGTCCATCACGTTCAAGGCTTTCAAAAAATTACTTTTAAGGCATAAATTTATCAAATTAAAATAGCGTGTGCTCTGAAAGTCCGATGGCTAAGAAATGATAGTGAAGAATAACAGACAAACATAGGAAAAAAAAAAAATGTACCAGTAGCATTTTCTGTGAGTCTCCTTAGAAGCTAAGCCTCTACCAAATTGAATCACTTTTTCCTGCAGCTTTAAATCAATGATGACTTAAAAATCTAAGGTGAGATGTAATTGCTTTTCCAACAGCTGGTGTGATATAAAGGTGTCTTAAACTGGGGGGTGGGGAAACGTGTAGCTTCTGAATTACCTATAACCTTGTCCATTTGAACTAATGACTGGAACTCCCTGTAAGTATTAGTAGATCTTACAAAGTAATGCAAACCAAATTAGCAATTTTGAAAAAATAAAAAGAAAAGAATAAGTGAGGTTAATTCTATTCCCTAGAGAATAATCTGAAATACATGTTACAGAAAAGTAGTGAAGTCTATGTGAAACTTTCCTTGTAATGTCCTGCTTTTAACGACAACTAAAGGATGAGGACAAAAACCATTTTGTAAGCAAAAGCTTGTACATTAGTGAGGTTCCTCTGTCATAGTCAATGCATCCCACATATCTATTCATTCAGAGATCTTAGAAACTTACCGCTGTTCAAGCTAGATGCAAATGCTGATCATGTGGGGTAAATTTCTGTGATCCTTATTCATACTGAGTGGCAGTGTTCTCCACATATTTCAACAGGGTTAGCTATATAAATTACATGCTAATTGTACTGAAATACAAACTTAACTCCAGAGTTCTGAACTCTGGAGTCTGACTATACCTGATCATTTCCCAGCTCTTAGTTTACCTACCCTGCAATTCTCTGACTGCATTCTTCACAAAGATATAAGGGAGGTGGCTTATCACCCAGAGTCACAGACAAGGATGGATCAATGCACATCTGAAACGCAGAGAAGGAAAAGAATTAACACATCTGTTCATGGAAGTTCACTGAAAAAGTTCAACACATTAACGCTAGGACATAGAATAGAACACAGCTGTGATATGTGTTGAGAGCATTCAGTATTCTAAAAGATCGCACTTGGCATCTGGCAGCACAGGATCTTAAATTATTTCTAAGAAAGAGAGAAATGTAACTGAAAATGAGAGCCTATGGGAAGAAAACAGGACATATTTCAATATCAGTAATATCACTCTCTGAAAGACAAGTATATTTTGTGTTACAGATTTACACTGCAGAGTCATGACAGACATACTTTTCATTTTTTTCCGAAGATATAATCACTTAGACGATCCATTGCTTAGGACAAGGTAATGTAAAAGTCTAGATTTTTCTCTCTCAGTAACACCTCTTCCAGCAAAATCTAATTTTCACTTATCATAGTTGTTAATTCCAGTGACAGAACAAAGACTATGGACCCATCATTCGCTTGGCCGCATACGTCCAAACTTTTGTCTTGGATTAGCTTTTATCCTTCCACATTAACCAGTTACAGAAAACAATTATGGTTAACAGCCAGTTACATACACATTTGTTTGTTTTGTACTATTTAAGCAAAAGCTGAACAGTAGTACGCATACACAATATCTTGAACACTTAAAACGTTTATTACTCCATTCAAGCACAAGATTTTACACATAAAGACAAATGCCTCTTTGAATGTTTCTCATCTCTGTTAACCAAATTTACATTCATCTATCCAAGAGACAACAGGCTGGATTTTTCCGAGTGATGACTGATCAAGACTGGCTCTGTCAAAGTTCAGCTAAGAGATCATTCAAAAATACTCAGGTATTTCACCTGCAAAGCTTGGAACTGTAAATTTCATTGATATTTTGCTCCACTCAGTGATTAGTCCGAATCTAGTGATCACTATAACAGCAACACCTTCCAGCTTTTCTTCCTGTGAAAAGGGATCATGGAGAATGATTGGAGTGGGCAGGAAAGTGGTCCCTTGAAGAACTGGTGAGATAGGCATCACCATTATGTCCTATGAATTCCACAGCCTGTGGAAAAGGCTCACTGAAGAACTGTTTGACTAACATAATTATGTTAGTATATGAATTGATGCCAGGAAAATTGGTTGTATCTGCATCTTTAACTAGATATAAATCTAATTAATTAGTACACCTAACTGTAGTATGCTCTGGACTTGGGATGCTGTTCTCGCCTCTGCCATCAAATTGCACTATGATCCTAGTCAAGCCATTTTATTTTATTACCCCGCATGTAAACACGAGAGATATCATTTACCTCCCTCAGAGGGCTGTAGAAGAGGTCAGTAAAGCTTTCTTGCTATTTGCTTTAGGACACATTCCAAGCAAAGGATCACAATCAGAGTAGGTGCCTTGTATGACCTCAACCAAGATACCAAGGTGAACACGTACCTAAGTAATTGACATATTTCCTGTATATAGTAATATTTGTGCACATATTTACACACATATATGTGTTCAGGAAAATATTTAAATGGATTAGCCAGGAGCTAGCTTTGAATTTTATAACGTGCTCTGCAACCATCCTCATGTTTAATATCAAGACTCAGCCCACAATAGTTGGAGGAAATATCCCATCTTCCTTTAGGTAGCCAAAAAACATATTCACAAAGTTCTAGTTCCCTTGGTCTCGATAGGCTTTGCTATTCCCTTAGCTGCTGCTCTTGGTCACCTGCACACAACCAGAGCATATGGCTGGGGTTAAAGTGCAATCTCCCATCCCTCAGATAGCTGGGTTTGACCTCTGAAGAAATAGCAGTACCTTCACAGCTGGTTTGTTAATTGCATTATGGCATTCAATGTGCTGGCAATGAATCGGATTCCAGGCTGCAAAATCAAAACACAGCTGATTTAATAAATGGAGCAAATACATTTACATTCTTTGTGTCCAGTGGTATCAACTGAGAACAAGATCCTCTTGTACTAAGTACTACACAAATATGAGAGAAGACCTAGCCATTCCTCAGGAAGCCTAATAATTACAATAAACAACCTAGAATACATGGCTACTGACTTGTTTGGGATACAATTATGAAATGAACCATAAACTCAGTGAAGAAATGGAAAAAGTAAGATGCAGACATCCCCATTGTAGACCTTTCCTAATCTCACCGACACCCTGAATTAATTAATTATCCTTCCACTCCAGGAGCAGTAGGGTAGGAGTAGCTGAGTAAATTCAGTAACATTCTCGGGCAAAATGAAAACACAGCCATGATAAAGGAAAACTAGTCCAGCCACAGAAGGAGCCTTAACTTTGTAATGACAAGAAGTAAACAACAAAGGTATGTTCAAGTGGCATCACTTAGATGCTATACTGGATGCCCCCAGGTCAAAATGCTATGCAACTGCAGGTAATACTCATCCCATTCTGGGATACATTAACAGAAAATTTATATATAGGAAAATTATTCCAGTCCACCCAGTGCTAGTAATGGTTCAGATGGAATATCATGCTTAGTTTACAGACTTGCTTGCATGAAAGAAGTGATGCAGAGCAGTAGAAGAATGATTTTTTTAAAAAAGCCAAGAAAATCTATCAACCCTTCAAGGGTAGGCTTTAGAATAGACCAGACAAACATGTATCAGGAACATTCAGGATGTACTTGAGCAGGTCTACAAGGCCTTCTAAGGTCTCTTCCAATCCTTCATTTTTGTTATTTAAAATGTCACCTTCTGGTCTAGAAGTTTTAAAACTGAACAAAATACATCCTATATGACAGAGATTATTTGAAATAAGTTGAGACAGGCAAGCAGGAAAAGCAAGTCAAGAATTGCTGCTGGACAGTCCCCACTGTAAAAGCACAATCCCATCAGTATCACTGGGGAGTCTGGTAGACAGAGGATTTTGAACCATCCACCTACTCAGCTCCAGCTGATTTGCTGACTTTGTCTCTCATTTTCAACCTGTAGCAAACCTTGAGAACTCATCCACTATACTGACTGCACCTGACATCACCTGACTTTTCTTAACAGTAACAGCTAGATAAGGAGTCTTAGCAACAGCAGCAGTGAGAGCAGCTGGCACAACAAAAGCAAACAAAGCAATAACTGAAAGGAACATAAGCCAGAACCCCCTGTGAGGCCAAGAAAGCAGTTTCACAGACCATTTGGAACACTATATTTATTTCTTCTCTTGTTCTGGTTTAGTTAGTATCAGGAGTAACACAATATATTTACTAGCCACAATCACAGTTTTTATTTTTCATAACATCTTTTGATAATAGAGAGTAATGGATATTGTATATACTTAGGAAAGTACCAACTCATTGAACAAAATATTTCAAAATACATAGTAGAACTGTAAACATGTGACATTAACACACTTCTGATCATTTCCTTTATACTTATTTTGGCCTTTGTGTATTATATATACAAAAACAGCTGCACTGACCTGTGTACTGCAGTCCTCTGTACTCACTGATTGCCCCAGGGGGTTTTAAATTGGGCCAATAGTGAAACAACATTTGTACTGCTGGAGGTTTAACTTGAGATGGTCCATAGGCTATCACATATAGCAAATCCTAAGGAAGGACACATACAAAATGTTTATTTTGCAAGGTAACAAACACAATTCAATACATATTACTTGTGTTCAGATACCTGAACACACAAAATATATACATTTCATGCACTACCAAACATCCTTTGCATGCTCTTACAAGCACATTAGATGACTAATCTCAACAACATGTTCACAATTGTCTTCTGAGTTTGGTCAGAGCATCCAACAGCTATCACCCATCCTGCAAAGTGTACTAGCATATAGCAAACGAAGCCTCTGTCTAACCATGGAGCAAAGAGGTGTGATACAGATAAATAACTGGATCCAGATCAGATAAAGGCTAAGACAATACTCACAAATAGTCCTCATAAAAGTTCAGTCCCACATGAACTGAGAAGATTGGTTGTTACTAAAATTTCTGCTAGTTGGAGCCACAACCACATAGTATTTAGGAAATGGAGCTCTGTTCTACAAAACATGGAGCTGCTTCCATAAACTAAAAATCAGAGGGACCTTCCTCCCATAATCCAGAAGGAGGACTGAATATAAAGATCATTTGTAACTTCTTGGCACACAGCCAGTTCAATTTTCAAGCCATCTGGTTTTCATTACTATCCAAATACAGTCATTTCCACAAAGTATATATGATCATAAACTTACTTTCCATACTTCTTGCTTATATTTCATGAGGCATTCCAATAATTGGCAGTGATACACTGAGAGAGAAAACACAGTATAGACATAATACTGAAGTGGAAATGCAAATTACAGAAGTGATGTAATTAGCTGATTGGTTTTGCTTTGTCCATCCAAAACTCCATATCCCATTTAATTACTTTTTATTTTAAAGAGTTTGCTGAAGAATCATTGCCCTGAGAGTCATCACAAAATATTAGAAATTTAATATTAGTAACTTGTTTCTGTCAAGGAATGCAGTAAGATAATGAGTATTATGAGTGTACAGCTTTTTCAACAGCAATGGAGATCTTTTTCAAACACATCTAGTTTAAGAACACCTGCTAATTCACTAAAACTTTGTCCCTCTGGCACAATGTAAAGCTGTAAATGGGTATCTTGCCACTCATCTTGAGGCAGTAATGGAAGTCACATGTAACAATACATTATTCCCATGTATACCAAAGGCTATAGGAGCCACTCTGCATCAAACAAACATGAGAACCAAATTAACTACTTTACATGTTTGACTTCCCAAAAACCACACGGCAACATTTTCCTCAGATGGGTGGAACATGGAATTCATGAACAAAAATAGAACATTTAATGAAAAAAACTAACTTGTGTGAGTAGCTTTTAAAAGCTGCTTTTATTTACTGCTGTGAACTATGTTAGCATGATGTGACACTTCTCATGCACATAATGCAGTGTGGGGTTCCTCCACAGACACTCCATCTACCCATCTACATAAAACAGGAGATAGTTGACTATCATGCAATGTAACAGCTCCCTCAGGTTAAATTTTGTTTCAATTTGGTTATTTGATCCCACTGATTCAACTGGGACTCTGCCACAGTGAGAGAATGGCCTTGTATTTAGATACTTATATTTAAATTCATTATAGTTCTGTTGAGCCTGCAGCCAGCATTACCTGTCTGTCTTAAAAAATAGTATCAGTCATGAACTTTGTTGGTATGAATCATAGCATAAGACAAACTGTTACTATGAATTTCTACAGTCAAAGTTGGTGGTGATTTCTCTCCAGCACTGATGTTATAGATCAACACTGTTTTCTGAGCAAGAGTGGATCAAAGTCTCCAATCCTGGGCCAAATCATACTTCTTCATCACAATGAGATTTCTTTTCCACACAATGGTTACTTCAAGCATGATGCTCAGAAATCTCAGTTTTGACTAAAATCACTTATTTTTCACCGTGTTGGATGGTGAGACAGATTTTTCCCATCATCTGAACTTTTCTGATTGCATTTGACAGTACTTCATGACTCAGTTTTAGAGAGAATGATATCACGTTGCATGTTTACACATACCCGGGTTTGATGTGTACTGCATTGCAATCATTAGCATTGATGATGCAGATAGATTGACATGTGCTGGAACACCTTCTCTTTTTGAGGATCCCACTTAAAAGAAAGGAAAAAAAAAAATTGTTATTGTATAACAAGGAAAATTACTTGAGAATAGCATATAACTGATTCAACTGATGCAAATAAAATTCCTAAGGTACTACGTAATTAAAAAAAAAAAAAAACACCACACCAAAAAACCCACGAAACTAAAAAACTGGAAGCATTCTGTATTGGAGGGGGTGAAACCCCTTTTCTGCTGGAAGAGAAAGATGACTAAGTATATGGTATTGTTTCACAGTGCGCACACCTAGTTTTCCAGATCAGTAAGATTTCATTCTCAGAACTGCACTAACCAAAGACAGTGATCTTCTCGAGCACTCTCCCTCAGAACCTATAGACAGGTCAAAATGATGCCACTTGTATAGTCAAGTGTACCTAGGGCTTGGATTGTAGGAAAGGTAAGGAGGTAGTGGAGGGTAAAGAAACAAGACAAAACTGAAAGCCTGCTGTTGAGGCATAGTGATGAAGGGTTGGGGATGGCAGTAGCTGCTGGCTGTAGGTGTATGGCACAGATTACTTCTCAGGGAGCACATGGTATGAGTTCAAGTTATAGATACATACCAGAAAAATTAGTCCCCCTTCTTATGTCAACTGTGCTAAGATAATGATAAACAGTAGCACTGAGGTATAGCTAAGCTGTTGTAACTTTGACCTCACACATCAAGTGGCTAGAGTTCCTTCCAGGCTCCTACGAAGTGGTTACTATTAAACGATACTCTTGGAAAAACCCTGCAGGCTGTAGGTGTTTATTTGCTGAACTATGACATGGCAAAATGGCTTTGAAGGCAACCTCTTACACAGAGATGTGGTGTGTATCTTCCCATCTTCACTCACAGCACTTTCCCAAGCCTGGCTGCCAGGACTCAAATACCAAGCATTTGGGATAGAAGCACAGAACTGTAGCTACCAGTTCAGTGAGATGCTTTCATCCCTCCCATCTGGCTCTCCAGCTGCTTACACAATCTCTTGCATCCTCCCTTTTGGTTTGATTCGGAGCCGAACACTAGAAGAAGGAAAGGTTCTGCACTTGCCTTGTAAGGGGGGCACACCATTCTCCATGGGGAAAGACGAGGACACTAATTAAAAGAGCACTCCATTGGAAGAGAAGGCGGCAAGGGAAAATGGAGAATTTCTCTCTTCTATCTGGTACTTCTCCCCATGACCCAACATTACTATGGCTCTCTTAATTCACTCCATTCCTTCTTTTTTGAATCTCATCCACACATGTAAAAGCCTCCAAATTATTACAGCAAGGTCTATTTGTATGGCTTTAAATTGCAAAATACTCAGCAGCTCTAACCTGCCAATTAAAATGTGCCCATCAGCAGAAAAGTAGGATACCGTACTGGAAGCCAAATTTAAAGAGCAGCAGACTAGTTTCATACAGAGACCTAACCAAACTGTTTGAGGAAAAAGGCAGCATGACAAAGGTTGCTCCTATGCTCTACATGGATGCAATCTCTGCCAAGGGTAGTTGGGGAATAGTATCAATTTAAGTAAACCAAGGATTTGGCTCAACCAGTTGTTCTGGAGAATAGTTTTACAGATCTGAGGATAGACAGGACAGGGTAAGTCACTTACATCAGTTGTTCTTTAACAGGTAACAGTAATGGAAGAAAAAGGAAGTTAAATGCAACATTCTGTTCTTAACTCAAAGAGGACCTATTGCACATAAGTATGAAATACATCTTAGCAATTTTAATTTGTATACTGTTATTTAACCTGTCAAAGGTAACAGAAAAAACATCATTGCAATGTCTTACAAGGGACTATTTTACATGGGGAAACTGAGGTACAGAAGAGTTAAGGGATTTCTCCAAGATCACTGACTGGTAGAGCAAGAAAATGTAGGTGATAAATTTCCAGAAAATCTTAATCTCAAAACACTGAATCATGCTTCTTTCCGTGTTCTAACAGCATCTTCTACATACTTAAATGACATCAGTGTCGATCTCTGTACAAAAGTTACTCATGTTTTTCCATAAAAGTCTGGAATACAGATAAGGAGGAGACATTCTCAAAGAATCATGGGATGGTTGATGTTAGAAGGGATCCTTGGTGATCATCTTGTCCAACCCCTCTGCTCAAAGAAAGGTCAACTAGAGGAGGTACTCAGGATCAGTTCTGTTTTGAGCACCTGCTAGGATGGAGAATCTGCAACCTCTGTGGTAAACTGTTCCAGTGTTTGAGCAGCCACACAGTAAACGGCTTGCTGGTTAAAACTGACTTTCAATATTGACCCTAATGCTTCCATCTCCAGAACATGGTTAAATTCCTCACTACTGATGAAATCCCATCAAGCTTTTTATCAGGTATATAGACAAGTATTCAGGTCACACCTCAGGATTCACATTGTGCAGGGATTATGAAATTACATAGTCATGCAATACTTTCGGGGAGGGGAAGAAAAAAGAAAGAAAGAGGAAAAAAAGGCAGACACTATCAGAGTCAGTCTTAACACTTATGGATAGGAGACATTACAGGCACAGCTATTTAGTACAGAACTTAAGGAGAAAATGCCAAGAGAAGGTGGGAGGAGAATTCATCACAACATCATTACATTGAGAAGAGTCATTCTTGTACATCCAGATATAGCCCAGATACAAAAAATATGTATGTTGCTACGGCATCTATCATTCCAGGAGCAGTTTGCCCATTGATTCTATATTCAGAACTCCCACCGCTGGCAATTAAAGTTCTATGAGTCTGAAAACAGTGTATTTCTTCCATAAGCTAAACTTCACCCTTTAAATGAAGAAAGAATTCACACAGTAACACAGAGTAAGCACAACGAAAAAAAAAATTATAGAATTATTTCCCTTTGAAAAATAGTCACATGGAATTATTTTACATACATACATACAATAGATCGATGTCCCATTACAATTCTATGACAGGTCAAACTTTGACCCCTACAGTCTGATACTATTATAGCAGCGCACCATGTTTTCCAAGTCATAACAATACTAGAATGAGTTCTACTTACATATAGCCATAGGCAGAAAAGATGTGCTGAGATACTCTATAATATCCTTGTGCAGAAATGGAGGAAAGGTAGCTAGTGTTGAAATCATTGTATAGGGTAAAGTACTCAAAATATCATCATTGAGAAAAGGAAGCAAGCATGTAGTAGTGTAAAAAATTGATTGCCCAAGATCTGTTGAATAAAATGAAATAAATACAGAATCATTACAATGGAAAAATAATTATGACTATGTACTTTTTAGTTTACAAAACTATTAAAAAAATTACATTTAAATTCAAGTTTTCCCCTCAAAAGTAATTTGGGAATTTAATCACTATAGACAAGAGACTTCACCCATCATTTTTAAGCCCCTCCTAAAATAGAGGGAAACAGCTGTTCAACAGTCCTCAGAGTTTGAAGGGAATACAAATATACTACAGCCAGTAAAATAATTGAGTAAAATCAATGTTGATTTTAATCATACAGTGATTAACATACAATCGCCTGCATTTAAGCAGAGATGTTATTAGAATCAGAATTTGATATGCACTTTGGTACTGAAAGGCCTGCTTTTGCAAAAAGCATTCTAGTCTTTATCAGTCGTAGAAAAGTAAGATTTTGATCTTAATTACCCTCAAGAGAGCTGCAAAGTACCTCCCACATAGAGACCACAGGAAGGGTCACTGTATTTTTCAAACAACATGTGATTATGCTATGGATCTTGTTTTCCTGGGAAGCCATTGAGGCCAAAAACGGCCAAGGCTTAAAAGGAAAGTAATATTTATCAAGAATTTCCATACTTATTCTAATTAATTATACTATAACTCTTTGGAAGGGATACTTAAGATATGTGCAACATTTCAAGATCCAAAGGGAAGGGATAGGTTTATTGTGTATCCGGGTACTGTGGAATCTTTATATCAAATCTTTCTTCCAAATGAGGAATTGAGCTGGGGCCAATAATCCTCTGAGAAAGGTTACAGCACTCAATGAATCCCAAGTCTGAACCTGTATGATGATTCAAATAAATCAGAAGGCCCTTCCCCTGCATGAGAGGGATTCCTTTTGTTACTCACTCTGTAACCTTAAGTATGTTACACAGGCCTACAGTCTCATCTGCACAACTAGTATGATTTAAAACTGTGTCTGTGCTCAGAGATCTGTAGCTGTAAACATCATGAGTCATAGTAAGAATTAAAATTAGCACTCCACTTCTGTCATTCTGGCATGTCTTCTACGCAAGGGTCTAACCAGACCCTTAATGCTAGAGAGTGCTTCTCTCTTGCAATACCTATTTACCAGCTAAGCATTGAGAGTTTTGTATAATCTGATCGGACCACAATTCAGGACCGCCTAGCGCATCAGTTATACTTACCCAAACAATATTGATTGTTCTGATTTTAAAAAAAAAGTATTTCTTTTAGTCAAATGCTAATCTGAGGGAGAAATAAATAACAAGTTGCATTGCAAAATTTAATTTTCCGTACACAGAACCATAAAAAATAGCAACTGACCTCCCCTTGCCCCAAGCACAAGCAACCAAATTATTCCTGGCAGATATTTGTCTAAACTGTTCCTTAAAAATCTGCAAGACAGTTCACTCCTCCTCCTGGCAATTCATCCTAGTGCTTAACCATCTTTATCATAAAAAGGACCTTTTTTTTTTTTTAATTTCCATTGCTGCAGTTTAAGCCTATAACTTCTTATCCTGATAAACTGTAACCACAAATAGTTTGGTTTAGTTTATTTCTCCTCTCAGCAAACTTTACATATGATCATCATGTCTCCCTTCCATTTTTCTCTAAGCTAGACAAACCAAGTTCTTTCAGTTTTTCCTCACTGTTCACATTTTCTAGACCTCAGATCATTCTTGTTTCTTTTTCCTGGTCTCCTCCCAAATGGTCCATGTCTTTCTTGAAGCCAGACGGACAAATCTGAAAACTGTAATCAAGCTGAGGCCTTGCTAGGGCTGTTAGAATGATAAACAAAATGCTTGGGGTGTCCCATACACAAAACATCTGTTTACGTATTGCTAGAATAATATTAATATATTTAGTGACTGATGGTCTTCCTCTGATCTACTGTAATACCCAGATCTCTCTACAGTATGGCTTTCAAGCTAGTATTTCCCCCATTTCATTTCCGCCTTTGATTTCTCCTGCTTAAACACAGTATTTTACATTTCTCCTTTGAAGATGCTTCAAAACAGAATGCAATTTGCCAAGATTGTTTGAATTGGCTCTCTTTCACACAAAAGACATGCTATTCATCATCTTGATAACCCCTGCAAACCAAACTGCTCTCTCATTTATATCAGACAAGTAAAAACATTAAAATACCTAATAATATTAGACCCAGCACAGACTCCTGTAAGATTCCCACTTGGTATACTCTTCCAGCTGACAAAAGCCACTGGTAATTACTCCTGGAGTGTTTTCCTCACTCAAGTGGGGACCATATGTCCCAGATTGCCTGTTAGGATGTCAAGTGACACAGCAACAAAAGCCATGTGCTGCCATAAAATGAAATTATGTTTGTTCAATGTAATTTGTTCTTTACAGGTCTCCACTCGTTGTTAATTATCACCATGTTACCTATTTAGAAGATTGTTTTGATAGTTAACTCCACCATTTCTAGAAATTGAAGTTAAGTCGACAAGTCTACAATGGGGTAGAAGTCCCCCTTTTGCAAGACCATACCATTTCTTAGTACAGTAGTCTTTGATTCAAAACATGCTACTGTCAACTCAAAAGGAATTCAGCATTTAACAGCAAGAACTTTCCTCCTAAAGAATTTCAGCAGTGTATCAGATTGACAACAATCTTCCTATACTGAACTATGTGATTAATTCACTCTGATACCATGGTGAAAATTAATTTTCGGCTTATGTAACACAGGGAGAACACTGGGCTTCTGAATCCCAGCATGGAAAGCCACAGACTAACAAGCCAGACATATGCAGATCTTGAGGGAAAACAATAGAAATACAACACAGTTACAAAAAAATCTTGCGATTAACTAATTCAAAACATAAGAAAATATAGCTTCTCTGTAAGTCAGAGATACTGCTATCTTTTTACCCAGGAATATTTTAAAGCCATCTCAAATCACCATTACCATGGGTTTTCTTCAATTAAATGTATACTATGTTCTATTTAGAGATGGACCTTCACCAAAACACCCAATCTGCATATTCGTTATAGGTCAGATACACATTTGCAAGCAATTTGTGCCTTTTTAAGAGATCTACCCCAAAAAGACCGGTCTGAAGATATCCCACCATATTCAAATTAAAAATCCAGATTTATTTAGACCCATTTGTATTATTTTTGTTACGTTCCATTGTATTTTAGTTACATAACACCAGCATATCACTAAAAATCAGACAACCTCAGAATTCGAACCCAAACCCACAGCTGGCAAAAAACACATCTTTTATTTAAGAAAGTCAAACCAAACACTTGGATATAAATGCATCCCAGGAGATTTGAATTCCAGATCCAGGTCAGTTTAGGCCCATCTCTTCTACTGCATTTATGCATCACTCATGGATTCACAGCACTGAAGTTAAGCGTACTGGAAGTGTTCAAGGGCCTGCTTACCATGTTGACCATGTTGTAGCAAGGGAACTAGATCCAGCAGTGTCACCAGTGTCACGTAAAGTCCTTGATAGTCCAAAGATGGGTAGTCTGATAACTGAGCATCACGACTTTGCTGGCCACGTTCAGATGGAGCATCTCGCAGGACGCTGTAAAGGAGGGAGCGAGTAACAGTAGGGTTGATGGAACTGACCTGTGGTCTTAGAGATGGGGTGAGTGGGAATGGCACAGGAAAAAGACACATGGTCATGGGCACTGTCAAATTGGAGGCATCTTGATTCTCCTTCTTCCCTGTGCGGGACAAAATGCTGTTGGGGGGACAAAGAAAAAAAAGAGACAACAAAGACACAAAGAACAGCACATTACATTGAAATGACACTATAAAACAAATAATAAAAGACCAGATACATCCCACATAAGATGCAATCACTACCAAAACCAGCGTGTCTACAAATCTAGCAACCATTCACTTTCATGCTTCAAGGTAAGAGAATTAAAAATTGACATCTAGGAAAATTTCATTGCATCTCATGTGTTATCTGGTTCATAAGGAGCAAAAATATAAAAATGCATGTTTCAGTGCCCTACCCATGTTTCACAGTTAAGAAAAATTCTGAGAATTAAAAGTGTTCGCTATGGGAAAATAGCTGTGTTAAAACAGGCTGGTATTTTGCTATGATATTTTGAGAGATTTATTTCCACCCCCCCACCCCCCCAAACCCCCCCCCAATCTTTTGAACCAACTGACTGAAAACATGCAAAATATAGGTGTGGCACTTGCAGAAACATGTTTTAGCAAAGAATAAACATGTGTGTTTGTTAAGATAGTCTTAAAAATCACATGTTTATTGCATTAAAATAATGTCTGTATGTATTGTATGATACTGTTTCATGACCACTCACTCAGTATCATTTGAGATAATGAAGTTTAAACAGGCACATGGATTTAGAAATAATATAATATTTCTAAAATGTTAACTAAACTACATTTGGAAAAGTTATAAAATAATATATAGTAGATGGTCTTTAGCATATGTTTGTGAGCTAATGATAATGGTTGTTTATGTGTGTTTTTAATTTTGCCCATGTTTAGGGAGGAAACATTTTACTTTATGAATACAAACACTCCTCGGGTAAATAGTTACCTTCAAAAATCTAAGGGCTAAGCAAGCAAGACCAATTATGTAACTGCAGATCAGACAGTATGTTACCATACATTCCAGTTACTTACGTTATTATTCAACAAAACTCACTATAAACTAAAGGAGAGATAATTTCAAAAAATAACAAGGCTTTAGTGGGAATCAAAATAGAGGCTATACGTCAACCAGCTTGTTATGTCGTTTTAAGAATGTTGTAAACATGTTAATCTAATTTATTCAAAAAAAATAAAATCCACTATTTTAAATAGAAATAAATTGTCACTTAAGCAGTGTTATAGTTTAGTTATCAGGCAATTATAGGGTTAGTTCATAATCTTCATATGTGCCTATAAAATATAATACACCTTTTAAATATATGAAACCACACACAATGTTTTGTTTTTTTTAAAGTACATTTTGCACCTCTCAGTGGTTGGGATTTCCAAAAGCAGTTGCTGTTGGTTTAACTCTGTTCCCAAAGTCAGTGTTAAAACTTATAAAAGACAAGTCAGTGGCATTACAATTTCCACTGACTAATGAAGAGCAGAGTTATGTCAAGAGGGAGCACTTCTGGAAACCTCTGTCCTCTTTAACAGTACAGAAATCCCTATTGTATAATCACCTTAGTAAAGATGTATCTTACCTCACAAGTCAATTCAACAATTTACACAAGTAAGCTAAACTCTTGCTAAGGTGCTTATAACAGAAGGTGTCATTCATTTGCCATATATATAACACACTTTTACAAGTACAGTTCTATGCCAAGTGGCTACTATCACACCACCCTTGCAGTCAGAGATGACAGACGTAGTCTGTTTTAAGAAACTACATATGTTTTTTTTTTTTCTCCTTTTGTATTGTGCTTTATGTATTTGGCAGATTATTTTGGTTTCTGTTACCCAATGTCCAGTACAAGAAACATGGTGACTGTCATGACAGCATTTATGCAATTGTATCAGAAAATCACCTAAGATCTAGTATGACTTTAAAAACAAATTATCAGAGTGCTGATTCCTTTTAATTTGCTTGATGTTCATTTGCTGTACTTTGCAGCTCATGTTTAGAGGTATGAAGGTACTAAATTATATTCCTTTCCTGTCTAACAACAGATGACACCAATTACCCATTCCTTTACTTGCCAACACATCACTCCAAGCGCACTTATTTCTGGAAAGCATATTACTGTATTAATTAATCCTTGCTTTGGAAAGTGTAGGGCAGTGATGGGAACCTTACTCTATAGGTTTCCCTTACTTTTAACACAGAGCTATGGCCCATCTATGGATTAGAGGCCAAAGCACACCATCTTGTATCTTGATCAGGGCATCCTTCTGTTCACTTCAGGAAAAGCAATGAGACCATACCTAAATTCTAGCTGCAACCACACCAAATTTAGAGGGGGGGAAAAAAAAAAAAAAACAAAAACAAAACCACACACACCAAACCCACCAGCTTTCAGACCCAGGCTTTTGCCTGACCCATATGTTTTAAAAGCAATAAACAGAAGAGTCAAAACTGAAAATCTAGGAAGTCCCCCAAGACCAAGATACAATGATTGCAGTTTGCTCCTGTTTCTGTTCAAGCTAAGTACTCAGAACTTGGCGTGTCTGCAGATCCTAACTCCATACTGAACTTGCTCCATGACAAGTGACAAAGCTACCAGGGCTTGTTTCAAGATATGTACATCTTTGCTGCAAACCTACCCCAAAATTACTGCCTTCCAGGAAAGGTTTCCTAAAATGCCTATAAGAGAATTGCATCTCACCAAAGCAGCAAAACAAGCTTGACCATTAATTAGCCACTGGGCATTTATAACTATTCCTTAGGTAACACATTTCGCTTAGAAATACATATGGAGAATTTTCTCCAAGAAAATGTGAAAGAATGAGCTGTTCTGCAAGATGTCTATTAAGACTTAGATCATTCCTCAAATGAGGGAGAAAACACTGAAAATGAGAAGGGCATGAAACAAATTCATGCTGTAATGTAAAGAAATGCTTTGGCCCAAAGAGAAAATTAAAGAAGAACTAAATGAATCAATGTGCTATGCATTGTGTATGGTGATTTTATGTGATGTTTGTTCATAGAAATACAGAATTTAATTTTTTCAGCCATTCCACATCTGTTCCCCCCACCCCTGAGTTTGTGATTTATTGAGGCTATGTACAGAGTAAAGGAGCAAATTAATCCCTTGTGCAATCCAGCTACAGCTAGCAAAATGACACCAGATATGAATGTGACCCAAAACAGTGGGCATGCCCCACTGAAAAGAACACACTCAATGTGTCCATAACATGGAAAGGTAAAAAGTATAATAAACAGTAAAAGCTACACCTGTAAAACCCAATCATCATATGGAATTTCTCTGACTAATCATTATTCCTCCATTATTCCTATGACTACATATGTTCATCAAGAAACGACTGTCCTAAAAAACTCAGCTGCAAGGAGAGTACAGATCAAACTAGGAAATACTTCTGAAGTTATTTTAAAATAGTAGATAATCACAAACAACTTATTTTGAAGGCCAGACCCAAAATCTCCAGAAATCAATGGGCATTTTTGCTCCTGTTTGATCAGTATTCTCTCAGCAGCCCAAATTCATTGCATACGCTCTGTCTCAATCTAGAAAGATTATTCTCTACCATGTACTTCTATCATTGATGTTAAACCTTGCATGATGGGAGTCTCAGTGTAGGAGGCAGAAAGAAGACTCAGCACGCAGAATATTCAAAGAAATTTCTGAACATGCTTTTCAGAAAGGTTCTTAACCAGTCTGTTTAGTTTTAGGGTAAATCTTGCAGAGATCTGCACACAGCAGGTGGGAGTTTCCTTCTTTCCATCTGCCACACTAAATACAGGGTGTGTTTTGTTTTGCTTTTTTATCCAACTTATTTCTTAGTATCAGTAAGTGTATAAACTTCTACTGGTTCAAACATAGCACTCAGGCTTTGACCGACAGTTCAAATTCCCCAGTTACAGGGATTCAGAACGTGGATTTGACCTTGCTGAGTATCAGAACTCAGTCCACTTAAATTTCGTTCCAAGTCCTGGCTTCAGTTTCTGGTGCCCTTTTAGCTCTGAGGCTGATCAGATCCCAGATCAAGAAGGACAAAGCCACTTGTGTAGACCTGCGTCTCCGATATGAGTTATCACTTCTGTACCATGAAGTTCAGCATTATCAACAACAGGATTTTGGTTCAGTCCCATTCTGAACATTAAATGAAGAAATGGAGTTGCTCAATTGTGCAATTGCTGCCCTGATTTCTGATCTGCTCTCATAGTCACTAAGTATAAAGTTTTTTCAGTAAGTCCAGAAACATCACTGCTCATGAAGTGTTAAGAATTTGTCACACAGGACACGTCAGCTGTACTGTTGAGAAAGATTAAAACAACAGAGTGGTATAAAGACACTTTCTTTAAGCAGCAGATTCTAAATCCACCCTGTCCCAATGAACTTCTGCCCAAAAAGCACTTGGTAGTTATAGCTAAGGGAGAAAATGTTCGGAATCAAGTCCAACTTTGTTGCTTTAACAGCTTAAAGGCCCACAGCGTTTAAGCAGAGGCTGTTTTGTAACACAGAATCTTACTTAAATGTGATTTAAGTGTGCGTGTCATGCGAATAATCCACCAAAACAGCCTGATGTGGGAACAGAGCCACATTTCAGATGTATCTTTAGTGACTCTCTGAACATTTTTTCCTCACTGCTGCAATATAATAAGACAAAATTTAATTTATTAATCTTTAAAAAAGCCCTACTGGTTGCCATAAGTTTCTTCAACACTCTAAATGATGATGGAATCAAATTTCACAATGGTTAAACAATTCTACTCTTGAAATTTTCAAAAGTAAACAGGAGGTTTTTAAGTTTGTAGTGAACAGGTGTTTCATTGACAATGAGTATTCCTGTCTATGTATCTTTCCCTCTCATAAACAAGGTCAATAATTTTGATACATCCCATGCACTTTAAATGAATGTTAGAACAAACTACTGTCATTCCTTCAAGTTTAAATTCTTGCTTCTCAACTTGTACACATCATAGGGGTATGTGTACAAATATATGGGTTAATTGCATTTTGTTTAATGTTTCCTCATCAAATAAGGCAAATAGTTGTATTTCCAAACCAGCTTCTGACAGCAGGGACAATCTTTCCAGGTCTAAATTAGGAAGCTATGCACAGAAATGCAGCTTTAACTGCATTTTTCTGGATGTGAAAACTAGTGCCAGTCAAACCCTAGGCACACAAACTGTCAAAAGCCATTTTAAAAACAATTTGAAAATATGAACACACTAGGTAGCACCGTGGAATGTATGTCATTCCTAATTAAGTCTCACAATATTTCGTATCTTTTTAGCAAGACAAGAGATAGTATTTCCTATTCAAAATGTATTCTGTAATCATACGGTATTTAGTACTACATATTATTACTAAATATTGGACTAAATCAAAACCCCGGGTCTGAACAATCCTGACCTGTTGTTGCCATCCAAATCCAGATCTGTATACAAACTTTGTGTCTACCCATACTGTTGTAAGGGACTGAACCAGAACCCAAACCTGACAGCCCGCTGAACTATGGCACAGTAAGAACCTAATTCTGCTCATATGGCTCATCGCTCTGGGATCCTGAGACACCAGGACTGTCAAGGAGGTCATGACTATACATATCTAAAACTCTATAGGTTACAAACTCCTTTCTTCACAAGTTCAGCACGTTTGTGCATTCAGCTAAGTCTTAGGAGGGCCAAGCAAATGTGTAATCAACCAAGTTTATTTTAGAATCAGCCACTCAATAAGCAGCTCAACTGGGCAAATTGGGCAACAGCCACTAAAGAGATTAATTCATACCATTCTTTTCATAAATTATGCTCTGACTCTTTTTGGCTGAGCATTGACCCATTAAGTCTTGCAATCAATTCAAAGTCAATCAATACCCCCTACAATTCTTTAGCTCTTTTTTCTTCAAGAGCATTAGATAAAACTTACCTCAATAATGTCTGAGAAAAGTATTTCAGAGTATTTGCAATGTCAGTTCCAGAGGGCACAGGGTAAATGTTGTGGAGAACCCGGTTGTGGTATTCCTGAAGGTAACGGATTTTGGAAGCAACTACATAAAAGACAAAAAACAAACACAGAAACTTTCATTCAGGTTTTTTTGCAGACTTTGACAGAATCACATCTGTTCCTACCATTTCTGATTTTTTTTTTTTTAATTTAAGAATTAAACTATAAAAAACAGAAAAGTCTCTCCATTCCTTCATTTTGACTGAATAAATTGAACACTCCAGTGGAAGAGTGACAAGGGGAAAGCACGGGAGTGAATGCATGCATCTGTATTAGACTAACTTAGTGCTAGCAATTTAAAAAAAAAACAACAACACACTCCACTAGTAAAACAAACACAAAAACCCTTGCACTTCTTCCGTGTCTCCAAGCATCTCAAGATTCATTTATAATGAATGAGTCATTGGATCACAGGAGGTTCATGTGAGATGGATAAATATTTCTATAGCCAGAGTAGAGATACAAGCTAAGACAGAGAGAGCTTATGTGATTTACTTTAGGCCATACATTTACTTTATGCAATGAACTAAAGATATGAGAAGATCTGTGCCATTTATTTACATGTCTTAGAAGTCTGATCAAGCAGGTGAGGGGATTTCAAAGAGCAGTAGGAGCTCTTTAATAGAGCTCTTCAATAGCGGGTTTATTTTCTAAGAGACATTCTTGTTCAGTATTGGGAAAAAGTGATTACCCACCATAGTTGCAATGCCTTAAATTGCCTCCATGGCACAAGACAGTTTCATGCAGAGACATCTGATCACAGTCAACTCTTTTGCTCTGCTCAGACTAACCAACTCTGCAGAAAAACAGAGTGCCTTAGCTGTGGCAGAGGGCTGCACCAGCTCACCTGCGCTTCCAGTTAGACTACTCAGCAGTTGTTCATAGCATCACTCTGTGCAGACACGGCCTCAATGAAAGCAGAGCCAGCTGGGAACTCTTAACCATGTTAAAAGTGCACCAAGACTGTGTAATAGGCAGTTAAAAGAGGAGATGCTTCTGAACGACTTCAGCCCTTGAGCATATGCATTATGACAGTCTTTCACTACACCAAGATATACCTTGCTCTCCTATAGGGCTCCTTCAGTGTGGAAGATAAATCACACTTCCTAAACAAGCAATTAGTCAATACTTTGTTTTAGTCTCATTGTCAAATTGCATATATTAAAAAATGAATACAATTAAGTCCTCCAGTGAACAGAAGGGCACTAACTTCCTGAGCAACATTGCTATGCCTCTCGCTGCTGCTGTATCTGAACATTTCATGAGCGTTCTGATCTTTTCCTCTACCACTGACAAGTTGAATGAGAAGGGGTGATGTATCCATATTACAGAAAAAGACTGAAGGACAGACACCAAGAGCAAAGTGTCTGCAACTACTGTTGGAGGCTCAGATTGAGATACTGAGTGCCATTTTGCCAGTATAGACAGCAGTATGTACTGGACTTTTACATTAAGTAAACAAAAGCATCTCTGAGTGCACAGTTACACAACAAATGAGGTTTGACAATTTCAAGTCAGTTATCCATAAAATGAGGAATTCTCAAATAATCATCAAGCAAATAGTAGTGTTTGCTTGAATTGCATGACAAGAAACCCAGTCTTCCAGCACCCAACTGCCTTTATCATGATCATTCTTTCTCCCATTTCCTGCTGTACTGACTGTACCCTCCCAATTTCTGCAGCAAGTGAAGCTTCTACACACAAAAGTCTCACTCACGATACTACCCTGCTTCATCACAGGGAGAAAGCTCACCATGTGACTGAATAGGGCTGGGGTCTATGGGAAAATAGCAAGTAAAAATGCAATTAGGGACACTGTCATAACGCACATGCCAAAGTAATAAAGTAAGGATGCATAAGCAAGTTATAATTATATTTTCCTCATTTTCAAGTGTTTTATTTCATAAATTTATTTTAAGGTGACGTTAATGGATAATTAAAATCAATCACTACTTTTTTTTCCCCCAAACAACTGAAAGCAGAAGTTTTGCCATGGACTCAGATTGCCTCAGTATAGCTAGTTACAAGATCAGAGCCTTTCAGGCCACCACATAGGCCTGTGGCACATGAACTGTGCTTTCCAGGAGGTTATCCCTATCTCTGTGAGACCAGCCATAACTAGCTTCCTAGGTACCCCCAAAACCACTGGTGTAGTAACATTTGGTCACAATGTGTTTCACTCCAGGTTATAAAAGTTTATTTTAGCAGTCCAAGACCTGTTTTCCCCTCCTTGTCCCACACCTTGTTCTTTCTGCCCACTATCTCAGTTTTAGTCTCAGATTTGCAGGTCAGTTTATCAGATTCTTTAGAATTATTTTTTTTTTTTTAAACTGTCATGATGACCCCTACAAAAACTAATCTAGATTAGGTTAGATTAAGAAAGGAATTACTTCATATATGTATTTTGTGATGCTACTTTCTCTCGCCAGGGAAAAAAAAAAGAGTATGAAGGCAGGCATATTTGCAAAGGAAACAGACCACATTTCACAGTACCCAACAAAGAACAGTTCACAGCAAAATGCAGTTTACTGTGGCTGCCATGGTTTGCTGTCAGATATCTGTAAGTGAATTAGATTAACAAAATGCCAAAGATGATGTCAGAATTCAGGTCTAGATGTATTTCAGAGAACTGTATGCCTCTCTACAGCTACTTGCTTTCAGTAAAGGGTACAGGGTATCTAAAATCTATTAATTAGCATTGTCACACAATTGTATCAGGCAAAATACCAAAACAAAAAACTTATTTATAAAGCTTAAATATTAACATTAGCTTTAGGTAAGGGTTTTAACCTCTCCCCTCAGTTCTGTTTCCCAGAACACTGACAATTTCAGCACAGCCTCCCAGAACACAAAGAACCTTCTGAATGAAAGCCCCAGAGCAAAACTTTGCCAGCTTTCAAGATACAGGAGTGTGTGAATGACCCAATTTTCTGAGTGTCTGAGCACCTAGAGATACAGTTCAAGAAGTGATGTTACTCTGTAGACGTACTTAGCCGTTGTCTTAGGGTCATCACATAAAACAAATTTTAAAAAGAAAAAAAAAAAAGAAAACAGTTATTCCAGGATACTTTGCTAGGTATCTCTCTAGGATCTACACAGACCTAACTAAACTCCCTAGCCCCCTTGTAAACATTGATTGAACCAAGAGTGAAACCATTAGGAGTTTTTTAAGATGGTCTTTGTTGCTCCACTGTCCTGGAGATGATCAGAGGGGGCATCAGGCATTCCCAGGACATTACTTACCACAGCTAAACACCAGTTACTGCTATTTAAGGTGAAAAAGAACTAATTTTCTTTGAATGCAATAGAACACCTCAGGCATGTCGTGATGGGTCAAATGATGAAAGTCACTGTCAATATTGCTGGTATGAGATACAAGATGCATGTGGTCACAAAAAAGGGAGGCTTCTCGAGACAGTTTCCCAGATTGCCACCATTTTACCTGTTGTTCATACAACCTGCTGAAGAGCTGTTGGGTGGCCACAGATTCATATTTATATCAGCACCTCTTCTGCTCTGATCAGTCCATTTCCTCATTCATAGTGTTTTGCTGCTGTTCTTGGTAAGTTGAGATTTGTTATGACTTGTGACTTCACTCCTTCCCGAGACATTCTGGTTCTTGCCTGTCAGTCAATGAGGGCAGCAACAGTTGCGGTTTGAAGGTTTGCCTGGTAGTGATGTATGCACATCAATATAATCCTTGTCAGAGTCCATCACCATTTGTCAAAAATTGCAGGTGAGGGAATTTTGAAGTTATGTAAAGACAAAGACATTTGGTAATGCCATAAGAACTAGTCAAGGGAGCAGTCTTGGTAAACAAAATACATTCAGTAGGTTAGAATGCACAGGGTATGTCCATTAACAGAGTACTCTACCTGGAGCACCGTGAAAAAGAATGTTAAGAGGTGGAAAGATCTGAAACCTGGACCCCAAGTAAATCTTAAAATAGAGAGCAACAGGGACATGGCAGGCCATGATGCAGTGTCTTGAACAGTACAAGGGGATGAAAAGAAAAAACAGCCAAGGATAAAACATGAAAAAGAAGCTCAAACAGAGCAGACCAAAAGCATTAGGAATGGAGGAACACAGAAGGCAGAATAGAAGAGGAAGAAAATGCCAAAGGCAGTGTTGGGATAAAAGGCAGTAGAAATTCTTCCACATGCCAGTGTGAAAGAAGTATAATTAATGTACAAGTATCACAAGAAAGAAGAAACAATTACAGAACTCAGGTGGGAAAAGCAGAAAGAACAGAACGGTACCAATCAGAACATTGCACAGTTCAGGGCTGCTGCAGGTAAGAACATTGTGTCTCTATTTATGAGGCCAGAAGTGCATCCCTACAGCAATAAAGTAGCATCCACATAATATTTAATAGCAACATCATCCATCACTGTAAATAAGCAGTAAACCCTAAAGGGAAAAAAAAAAAAAAAAAAAAAGCAAGCACTCTTTTCCTTAGATCAGTTCAGCACAGGCATATATATACACAATGATCGTTCTCAGTGACCTGGAGGAAGGAGACAGCAAATCTCAGCATGTGAGGTGTCAGATCATATCACGTCATCATGACAGACATCAATCCAACCTACAGGTCACAGACTGCCTGGCTCACAACCATGACACTGTATCAGGAAAGAAAGTAACTTTGGCATTGGCAACAATCTCGACTACCCCGGTATTCTTCTCTAAGCCTCCCGCCAGGGCTCTTGCAGATGCACCAGTTGTTATCAGCAGTAACAACAGTGGGGAACACTAGCATGGCCCAGCTGCTGACGTCCCAATCGCCATGTCATCTGATCTTGCTCCAATCGGATCTGGCCAACATGGTGGTTAAAACATCCGTGGCTGCGAGGAAGCATGCGAGGCCCCAGGCATGGGGATGTCAGCACCTGGGGGCTCCTGCTGGGAGACTCTGGGGGCCATGGCAGGCAGCGTGTAAACCCAGTCGACATTCACCCAAAAGGTGGACAGCACAAGCAAGGATGACAGCATATCTCCCTTATCCCTCTATCTCACAGCAAAACCATCTTCAAGA